AAGCTCCTCTTGATCTACTGTTCTTTGAATGTAGTTACAATGAAATAGAAAAGTCTATTACATTACTTTCCTAAACCCTGTTCATCTCAGTTGGACCTACATGTTGCTATTCTAATTTCTATTATGTAGGAGGTAGAAATGAAAGCCAGTAAAGAGTAATTTACTACTGAATATAACCATAATAAGACGAGTAGTGTAACGCCATATAAATCGATATACATATATCAGATATAGACTATCTCAACGTTGTAATGTACAAATTTTAACGAAGTAAAATCTCGGTGCCCTATTCGCAGTGGTAGTTTTTCACCGACGAGGCGAGACGAGACGAGAATTGAAATCTCGCAAATTTTTTTATAACATAAGTAACGGGTCGAACAAGTTGTGCGCCTGATGGTAATCTCACGCCTGTCCATAAAAATTACAGTGCCACTCAGAGCTTTAAACCGCAAAGATCTGAGGGGCACTGCCACTGCGCCCGACACCCTGAGACATGACAAGTCCCATGTGTCTGTAATTACACCAGCACCCTTACCATTCAAAACCGGAACACAGTAATGTTAACATTACTGCTTGGCGGCAGAAATAGGCAAGGTGGCAGTACTACCCGGGAAGAACTCTTTCACAATGAGCTCTACTGCTAGTAGACTGCCACTGCGCCCATCAACCTGAGACATAAGTTGACAAGTCCCGTGTGCCTGTAATTCCACCAGCATCCTTACCATTCCAAATCGGAACTCAATACTCAGATTCTGCTTAGCGTCAGAAATAGGTAAGGTGGCAGTACTTCCCTGGGCAAACTCTTTCACAAGGCTCTACTACTACTAAAAAGAACAGGCGAACTTGCAATACAAGTCTTATTATACTATGGTATAATTATGAATTATCTTTGAAGCTAGTGAGCAATTTGCATTAGTTATAGGTGTTGACTAAGGGCGGGGTGTTTAAACGTTAAAAGCGGAGGGTTTGACGTTAAAGAATTCCCACCACTATCCTATGAAATGTAAATTTGTTACACCACCGTGTTATAATATTATATGGCATAAACTTAGGGACAGCTTGGCGAGCAGGGTCCGTACAAATGTGGCTTGATCGTATTTCTAAGTACAATCTACAGTCTTGTCTTTTTTGAACACGGAGTAAAATGACGTTTGTAGGGTTGCCAGTTTTCATAAAATTTTCAATAATTATCTAGTTGTTGTCGACAGTTTTATCGCTAGATTGTGAAAGATAAAGTTTTGCCAGAAATGACTGAATTGTGAATGTTACGACGCTCTAATTAATTTAATTACCAATTGCGTTATTGCCTTCTTTATTCTTATTATGACAGTTGGCCTACTTGTATCGAGATCAATTTTTATTCATAAAGGTACATTTTAACAAGAACAGCCAGATTTCATTATCTATATTGAATTAAAATGAAAAACTTTAAAATATGTCTTTGTATTTTTCATAACATAAGTAGTTCTAAATATGTTGAGTGTGTGCGTTATTATTATATTATTATAAATACACTATAGTATATACATACCTATATGTACGTATTGCAAAAACATACAAAAATTTAAAATTCAAATGAACATGCGCTCAGAAATTGGATGAATAATCGTCTAGAGACGATGTGTTTCAAATACATAATATTATTATGATATCCATTTTTAGGGGTAAGAATAGAAGAAGAATAGAACTAAATATATTTATTCAACGTATTAACAACTATAATCAAGTACTTGCTGTGCTAGTGAGTATTAAGCAGTCTCATTATGTCGTTATGTAAACTCATTTTTACAAATTGATTACTTTGATATTCAGAGGTTACGGTAATGTCTAATTGTACGTGGTCCGGAGGGCTTTGGAGGAGTCTCCTAAGTGGGTAGTTTTCAAGTGACCTGTGTTGTAAAATTCAGATATTTTGTGCACAACTGTAGTTTTTCTGCCGTATAGCGAATGTGCTGAATCACGGATCTGTCGAGTCGAGAATTTGTACTGTACTGAATAAGGGATTAAAACTTTTCTTAATAATTACATGCCAGTGGCGAGGCGTCCATATAACTCGTTTCCCACCGGCTTGCCTAAAATTTTCCACATTTTAGTTTTAATTCACTATGATCACAATGTTGTGCTCAATTTTATGTGTAGAATAACTTAAGCAGTGAAATTAAGTGTTCTAGTATCTTGTATGCTAATAAATGTTCGTTTAAGTGACACCCAGGCGCCATTTTTAGGCGTTACTAACGACTATTTTCATGTCTCGCCACTGTTACCTATTTAATATTTGCAACCATTAATTATTATATAGCACTATTAATACAATAGTGTATTAACTCATAATATATTTTTGCAGAATCGACGAAAAACGAAATACTCACTTCCCGTGGAAGATTATTTTAGTAGCAATAGAGCTCCGTGTGAAAGAGTTCGTCCAGGGAAGTACTGCCACCTTACCTATTTCTACCGCCAAGCAGTAATGCGAGCATTACTGTGAAATTACAGACACGTGGAACTTGTCAACTTATGTTTAAAGGTGACAGGCGCAGAAGCAGAATCCGTGAGATCTTTGTGATAAAGGCCTGAGTGGCAACTGCTACGGCCAGGCATGTCAATTAACACCAGACGCAGGTCAGGGGTTTTGAGTAAAGACTGTTTTGTCCAAAACTTGCTCTTGCTCACAAAAAGTTTGTCTTATTTTGAGTTAATTAGATAACTTTTAATTGTTTCTTATAATATTGTAACAACGGTTTTATTGACGTGTAGAGAATTAAATTTTACGTTCCGCGATAGTATAATCTTAAATTTCACATATTTTCATTAACGACACTATTGTAATAGCAATGTGATATATTTTTTTTAATTCATAATTTTTCCTTACATCTGAGTAACTTTCGATATTATTGCTATTAATCGGTGAGATGATAAGTTTATGTTGTTATTGAGCTAAGAATAACATACCCGAAATAAAAACCATTCACTTTATACCATTTGTAATAAATCAGTTTTGTTTTGGTTTTACAATCATTATGATTTTTTATATATATATATTTAAGGTACCAGTGTCATTCAAATTAACTTTGATTTTGGTAACAAAATTGACGCGGCTCTACGATATTTTTCATGATTTCTCTGAAAAAAGTATTTTTTAACTTGAAATCTTCAGTACTTTGTATAGTTTAAAGAATATTTAGGTACTTATTAAATTAATAAAATATGAAAGAACAAAGTTTTTAATTGTGGCCCTGGTGAAGGATAACTTTTGGCCGAAGGGTGTCGTATATCGGCGATTTGAGAACAGCATAAAGCGCGAGATACTGTTATTCTCGCATAGAAATTCCGCGCCTTATGTCGCTCTCGCGCAAGTCGCGACCTTTCGTCGCCATGCTTCGATCCCTGACTGGATCAGTGCAGAAAAACTAACTTTTATATATTGTCCCGGGTCTGGGTGTTCGTGGTACCGTCGTTGTTTTCGAGTTTCATAACATAACCTAAGTGCTTTAGCTACTAATTTAGGATCAGAGCAAAGTATATGATGTTGTCTAATATGTATTATTTATAAATTTATTTAAACGAATAAAATAGTAGTTTATGTCACTGTTACGTAATGAAAAGCATTAAAACACGTGTGCGGGTTTATTAATTTTCTTAAAAGCATCACACGAGTGTTTTAACGCCTAATTATGTACAATTACATACACTGCTTTATCTACACACATATTATAAGCTCTCTGTTATGTGTTCATGCACCGCATGTTACGGCTGGCGAAATGGCGGCAAATAAAAACTTTTGTCACGCATGACACACAACCGTAGTTTTTATTTCATTCATAGACAAATCGACCCCTCCTACGTAAAGTATCGTATGTCGAAATTGCCAAGTTTACAGGGAAGCGTTTTAAAGTTCTGAATTCACTGCAATGAGCATAATACGTAACTTTAGCATTTCTGTTTTATTCGGCAAATCTCGTTACTCACATAGAGTATTGTAAAATCCTAGATGTCGGTTAGATGATCACTCTATGTCAGTAATGAGGTTTTGCCAAATAAAACGGAGAACTTTGAAACGCTCCCCTGTAAACTTGGCAATTTCGACATACGATACTTTACGTAGGAGGGTTCGAAATTAGACTCTGTTTTGAATTAGACTATCATATCATTCGATATCAAGTAACTTGTGAAATTTGTCAAAATTGTTTGCAATTGACATTTCATTTTGAATAAAACTTCATCTCGACTGATATTATAATTGAGGTAAGTCAATGATTGAGGTCGAATCAAATGGTTTCGGTTTTCAGAGATGTTCGAAATTTGAATGTAATAACAACATTGAATTCGATATTATCATTACGCAATAATAATATTTTCACAGATAAGAAGTTTTTTCTAACAAAACAGTTTATCTTTATGCCGGTCGTAATTTGCGATTTTTGAACATGTCATAGAGGGTTTATAATATGTGCGAAGATAATTTTTTTTTCAATTTGTAGTATTTTTTACATAATTGTATTTTTTAAGTAAAATTTAGTATAACACTATGTCATCAACAGTAATTGACTCGAAACAAGAAAGCATCAGTGATTATTTTTATGATAAAATCTAATGACATCATACGACGTTACAGTTAATCGACCTATGGAGAGCACAGCCCTCGTGTTGCATATAAATACGTGTCGACCCTTATAATATTACTTTTATTAAGTCACAGTACACGCACATGAAATCAAACACTGTCGTAACTCAAAATTGTGGAATTGAGAAAACACGACTTGAAAATTAATAGAAAAAATATGAATGGATCTAATTGCCAATAAAATAAAATGAATAAAAAAATTGCCAAAGTAAATAAAAAATAAATCATTATTTTTATTTATACATTATATTTAGTTATTTTTTTGTGAACGAGAACACATAATTAATTTATTGGTTACATTCAGTAATTTTTTAAATTTTCAAATCGTATTTTCTCAATTCCACAATGTTGAGTTACGACAATACTTGGCTTTATGTACGATGAATCTGTCATATAAGTCCATTAAAATGGTTCCAAATGAACAACAGCAGTTATTTATATACTTAGTTTTGATAACCCTTCAATCGTCAACCTCTAGTTCTAATTCAATGTCAGCCAGACTGATACGTCTTAAAGTGTTGATAACAATGTACCGGGAAAACATGACATAGAGATATCGGAACCATACCATTTGTGATCGATGCTCCTTCATTGAGCGCACTACGCGCCTACTTTCCGTCCAGCGCAGGAAGTATCTGTAAATAAGAGATGTGCAAGTAATGACAGTAATAATATACTCCCGGACACATAATTCGAGCCACCTCGCATTTTTGTCTTAAAGGGCTAGAATACAAAAATAGTATTTTTTTGCAAATCCAAATTCCCAACAAGGACTTATGGAGTTTAGTGCACTAGTTTCAAATTTGCGTAATAGTTTTTGATCGATCAAACATTGTTTAAGCTTATGGCACTTAATACTGAAAATGCGTGGTGGCTCGAATTATGTGTCTGGAAGTGTATAATGATAATATCATGCAACAGTGTGTAATGTATCACTTTGGAGAATTAGGGTGAGGTCAGACGAGCGTAATCTTTTGAATTGTGAGTCGCGTAATTTACGCTGTATTCGGTTTCATATAAAAATCCGACTTGTGCCTTACGACGAGGCATAATTATTTTTTTGAGACTCACGCGCGTATTTACGACCGAACTTTGGTCGCACTGTGTGATGTGTGTATACGGGAGGGGCGAGGTATTTTCATATTGAAAGGATATATCCAGTTTCTTTTTCTTTTCCTAACATCATTTTCTAATGCTTCATAAATGAATCTATGATACATAGTGTGAATATGTTTAATAGATTCATTACAACGTGTATATGACACAACCACCCCATACAAACACTTAAAAGCAACGTAATCATAATCATTTTTTTGCCATAATTTCCATTACATGTCAATAAAATTTAGTACCTTAAAATAATATCAATGAGAATATTAACTGAACAAATGCAGTTGCATTATAAACTGATATTAAAAAAAATTGTAACCTACATACAATAAAATAACAATTTATAATTAAAATATTCCGATAAATTAAAAAAAAACTGAATAGAATACGTTCTTCTGGCGCTCCTACCGGAATTTCGTCGAACGTAAAATACGAGACTGAAACGCCGCGACTCACAACTCACAAAATTACGTTTGTCTGGCCTCACCTTTAAGCAGCACTCCTACCCGACACAAAACCAAACGACTGAGCCTTGTTGTTGTTATGTTCAATATTATTTCAGTTACTATATAAAAGTTACACAAACTCTTTTCAATAGCGAATTACCTGTATTGTTGTCTGCGTTATTTCAAAATTGTAATACGTTTTGGTCACAACAGTGTTCAGAATAGGTGAAGTATGAGTAATGGTAATATTAATAAGTAGCAAAAAAGCAAGATCCCTAGTTGCAGACCTGGTAATTAGTATATCACGTATCTGAACATTATTATTATTAGTTTATTTTGTGAGACGTAGTTATTTATTTGAATTAAGCATCATTTACTCACCTCTTGGAAGACAGGACAAAACTAAGTGGAAGGTCTAGAAAACTAATGTACTTTCTCAGTATATTTACAGAGTCTAATGTGTAAACTGTGCACCCTGCAAGGAAACATTTTACTTATTTAGGGTACAGGTATTATGATTAGGTATTTAACATGTTCACAGTCCATGACTCCTCCTGGAGTTGCAAATTGGTTTCAACCATAAGTCCACGCACACCTATGGAGTCGCATCTACATACTACTACAATGTTAAATATCTTGATTCAATTTGTAAATCAAAGCCTTGATTTTTTTTAAACTTGTGAATTGATAATCTTCTGCAGGTGAATTTTTCAAAAATAACAATAATTTGGATATATTAAGATAAAACCAACACTATTTCACACTAATTACATAGGACTTACAGGGTTGATTTGGGCCTTTATATGTATGTATGTGTAGGGGACTATGAATGTATTAAAAAGTGACTTTATAATACAAATTAATAGTAATGTGTTATATTATTATTGTTACAAAGTTCAAACAATAAGGAAAAATTCCTTCAACTGAGTGGACCCGAGCCAGCGTCTGTAGCCACACTGGGACCACTGCTCTTATCAGCTGAGCTAGACTGAATCAGCAGATCTTACGAATATCTCTATGTGCTTGTTGCAGATCTTTGAATTTTGGTTTAAACACCTTTTTTGCCATCAGTGCCACCTGCGTGAACTTAGCCTGCTACAGCTACCAGAAGTAGAGATGTCGCTTTATTGAATATCATGATGTTTTTACTACAATGATATTCATATTTTTTGTGAAAATACTGCACTAATTTGTTACTATTATAATAATTTGCTATATTTCAGAACTCACTTTTAGGCATCATTTTCTCAACAAACATATAAGCAATAGCGTAAAAAACAGCTGAGTGGTTTGGGTGCGATGAGACACCACCTCGATCAAACGTTACAAGGGTGTCTATGTCCAAAGACTCAAGTTGGTGTTGTATAAGTTTAGATACCACTGGAACTGGCCATTGGACTTTTGGGTCATCTTTAAGACGTGTATCCATGATTATAGTGATATTCTGTCCAGGAACTCCGAGTTTTTTGCATGCATCCCAAAGTTCTGTACGTCGTAAGTGCCCTTTACCTTCATGGTCACCTGAAATTTGAAGATATTTATTTAATGTTTAATTTTTGACTTGTTAATGGTATTTTGTGAGAAATTATGTAGTAAGTTATGGTTATGAATACAAAGATTGTACACACAGGGAAATTTTGTCGACCCAGTGGGACTTGAACCCACGTTCATGCTGCACTGTAGCTTTGTTCTAACCATCTGAGCCACAGGTCCTATTCATAATCGTAACAAAAACTAGTGAGTTATTTCAGAAAAAAAAATATCTCAATAAAATATGTAGTATATGTCAAATTATGGTTTATAAACCGCCAAACTGTCACTGAAAGAATTACAAGTAGTATTTCGATAGGACTATGAAATTGGCAGTGCGAAACCAAAATAGAAAATTTTTTAGTTCTTAGGTTTTCACGATTGTTATAAATAGGAAATAAAACTATTTTTTCTGAATTAAACTGCACATATTTGTTTTCTCAAACAAACCAACATTTTTTTTCATTTACAGGTCCCATGATCACTGCTGACTTTAATGTTGGTTTGTTTGAAGAAAAAAAAAAGATACAATTTAGATTCGAAAAAATATTTGCTAAGAATTTTTTTTTTCATATTATTATGTTACTATTAATGCAATTTTAAGGAAATTTTGGATCTAAATAAACACTTTTGTTTTTATCCCTTCTTCTGTGGTTGACAGTTTCCTTCGGTACAGCCTGAGCCGCATTTCTCTGACCTATATTTTTTACTGAGAAATTGAGTTTGCAAAAACTTACCATTAGATAAACAGAGTAAGTGCACGTCAGCTCCCTGTTCACAAAGTCTAAATATTGTGGGACCAAAGAACATGCATTCGTCGTCAGGATGGGCCGTAACCAGTAAAACTCTCTTCGCTCGTAGCGCCCCGCGGGTTCTCGTCGGTAAACGCCGTGCATACCGCCGATACACTACACAACATACCACTAAGTACCCTAAAAGCCATATGCTTACATACAATGCGAAATTCCTAAAATACAATAGAGTTTCAGACACAAATTGCAAGTAAAACTTGTAGATATTTTCAAGATCAACAGACGCTTCATTTAATAACATTTCTGACTAGAACCTATGAACTCTTTGTGCGAAGATAAGCCATTGGACTTTATTACGTTTGTTTATAAAATTTTATATCAATCTTTCAACTCGCAACGCATTTTATTACAATTTTAAGAAATTTTCAACATTGTACTTTTCAGTGATATTTTTGACATTTTGCAATTAATGTTGCCTTAGAAAAATAAGAACTATATATTCGAATGTTTCCGGTTTGACTATGTTATTGTGTTGATGTTGAGTTGAGTCACGGACTTGTATAATAGAGTGAAAGGTGCGAAGTGCGAAGTGCGAACCTTTAGTGAGATAATGTGGCGTAAGAATCTAGAATCATGTTGTGTATATGTATAGTTAAGTTCTAGCAAATAAAATAAGTATGAGTGCGATTTATTTTGTCTGATCTTTTTTTAAATCAATTATAAATTAAAATTGCTCATTAGTCTTGCAAATAAAGCTACATTGAAACACAATGATCTTAAGTGAATATATAATAATAAGAAATAAAAAATACGTGTTGTAATTATGTCAACCCTACTCATGTAATAATTGGAAATATACACAGTAATATACACATACATCTATTTATTCTACGTTCCACTTCCCCTTCTTTCTTCATTTACTTTTCCCATACTTTACCATTATTGTGCGTGAATTAATTTCCCCGTTTTGTGGTGGCAGTGGTGGATCAAACGTATACCGCGAAGTGCCTTAAACCAAAAAAAAAATTCGACTTGACATTTATATGAATTTGACACATTTTGCCTTGCCGTCGAATTGAAAAATAATAATTTCTATTTTGGAAAAAGATTGTTTTCATCATCTTATTAAAGGTCCGAACAGAGTGTTACAATGATACAACCGGATTATCCCACGGCTATGGGGTTGCTGGCCCATTTGAATTCGGACGAATTGAAAGAAATGCTGAATGACGACACAAAGTTTGATACGGTTCTCAAGGATGTAAAACAGGTATTAAAGCTTTTGTTGTAAAAATGATTCCTGATAATGCCACTGTTCATTGCGTTATCCCATTGAATATTAATTTAAAATTGCATTTAAAAGTTATCGATACAGCACAAAATCGTTGCTCTATCTATGAAGGATGAGTCACAAGTCATTGTAGATAGTCATTACTATTATTATATTACATTTGTGATATGCACAATTATTTGCGTACTTTGTCATTAAAAGAAAAATCTGAAGAAATTTAAAAAAGGTATTTTCAAACTGTCTATTAAACATCTACCCTTCATGATATATAAACTACGTAAGGACAGTGGAACCTTTGCCTACCCAAATTAATTGGTTAAAAAAAAACAATGTTAAGTTTCCCCATTTTGAAAATGAGTAAAAAACAAGTGGTTTAAATATTAAGAAGAGTAAAAGAAATCAATTGAATATTACAAAGAAATATGTATGTTTATTTACAATGTACAAGTCGATAAATATAGTTTCTATAGCTCTCAATAATATGTTTGGTATATGTTATTTTAAGCTACTTTCTAGTCAAATGTAAGTCTAACATTGTGTATAGTATTCAAGTTCAAGATTTTTTAAATATATAATATTCCATTAAAAATAAAAGAACAAATAAGTGAGTTCATCAGTTTAATAATAAAGAATTGTAATATTAGTGGAACACGAACTTCAAGTAAAATTCCTTGAAACTTGACAACAGAAATATTTAAATAATTATTTCCGCACACATTAAATACAAAAAAGTTACCTTTTGAATTATTTTTATGTGAGGTCCAATTTCAACATTCCCTATGCATCAGCGGTCTCATATCACTCATTTTCTATTTCTTGTTATCTACACTGTTATACCAATTTGTAGGTATATAATTTATAATTATGTGCATAAAGACTTTTAAAAGGAATATCCATTTAAAAGTCTCATGCTGCAAATAAATATCCTCTACATAATATTTTACTAGATTTGACCAACTTCTGCTGTCCTGATTTTTTCTTATGATACAATTAAATTATCCTTTCTAGAAACTCAGTCTTAAAAAAATTAGCCAATTTTATTCATTTTGTATGAAAATATGTTCAATTTGACCGACTTTTGCTGTATTGATTTTTTCTTCCAATGCAATAAAATCCTCTTCACATGAAACTAAGTCTATCAGCATTAAAAAAAATTAGTCAATTTTATTCATTTTGTATTACAAACTATTTTATTAAATTTGACTGAATTGAATTAGTGATTCTTACATGAAACTGAGTTAATCAGCACTAAAAAATCAACTATATTAAAAAAATTGACTATGCCAAAATTGTTTTCACAAAAAAAGACTTAATGGTTCAAACAGTTTCCCTATAGCTTCTATGGTTTTGGATTTCGTTATACTGTCCCAGTCATAAAAACACACTGTATATTTAGACAGTTTGTTGTTGCTTCTTTACTACGAAATGTTGCACTTGGTAAATTTTGTTTTTCACATATGACTCAAAATTTGTTAAATTAATTTGTTTACAATTTTTTGTGGCGATCAGGGCTGCTTATTACATTATGGTCCAAATTTGTATTGTGCTAACTTTATGTTTCCTGTATCTGACTTTAAGGTACTGTTCAATATAAATCATAATTTATTTGGCAGGTCAAAGACTGGGAGACAGAAAAAGAGATGATAATAGCCAGCAACCGGTCATTGGCAGAGTTCAATCTGAGCAAAGAGCCTGATCTGGAGCAGTTGAAGGCAGAGGTGGCTGCAAAGTCAGAAATGGGCCAAGAGATATGCAGTCGTATCAAGGAACTGTTGGATGAATATAGTAAGTTCCAAATGTATCATCTTATTGTTAGTAGCAGTACAGTTCCTTGTGTTAGAGTTTGTCCAGGGACTACTGCCACCTTACCTATTTCTGCCACCAAGCAGTAATGTGAATGTTATTGCATTTCGGTTTTGAAGGGTGCTGGTGAGTGCCCCTCAATTGTTAAAAAGTTCCATTAAAGTAGAGGTAACTGTTTGATTGTCTAGATGACACAATATGGCACATCATAGCATGATGTCTTCTTTCAATTACCATAATAATTAAAATTTTAACATAATGTTTATATAATTTCAGAATCAAAATCAACCGGTATATCTCCCGACACAACACTAGCTCTCCTCCAAACAGCAGCAGCAGAAGTAGAGGAGAAATCAGAAAATATAGCACATGATTTCCTATCTGGCAAGATAGATGTTGAAAAGTTCTTAGAAGACTTTGAACCAATCCGCAAAGAAATGCATCTACGGAAGTTCAAAGCAGACAAAATGAGTGAGCTTATAAGAACTGGCAGTCAAGGATCTTACAGCAACAATATTCAGAGGCCATATTTACCGTATCCAAGCTACGGTCCACCACAGAATGTTCCAGGAGTGCCATATCCAATGGGACCCCTCAACATGCCTATGCCTGGCATGTATGGAAACCATTTCTAAAGTTTCTTACACGACTGCTTTACTTTTTGAACTTTTTTTAATTTAGCCGACGCCTTAGTATTTTGACGATAATGGCGAATTTACTTCATACTGTCTTGCAACAAAACTGTCAAAGTTTAACATTGCTTATCTGGGTGAAAATGACGAAAAATAATACGACAGGAAACATAATTTGTCTGGTGTCTTAATACACAGAATAAGCAGTGTTTAATTTTGGATGTTAGCAATTACATTTGGCCTGAAAATGATCTGAATATAGAAAGTACAGTAGTATTTTTTGAAGTTCAAGTTTTAGAACTGTCAATTACGTAATTTTATTCTAATGATGACGTTCAACTTTACCCGCCGCTCATTAGTGCACTGTTGCAATTATAAGTTTACCATAATATTGCACTGTTAATACAATAGTATATTAACTCGAAAAGTGTATATTTTCAGAAACAATGAAAACGGAAGTACTCACACTTCCCGTGAAAGATTATTGAAATTTATGTAGAGGTATGCCAAATATATCTAAAATTGTAATATTATTGAGTAAGGACTGTTTTGTTCTAAACTAAGCTCAGAAAAAGTTTGCCTCATTCTCAGTTAAGTAGATATCTTTTAATTGTTTCTTAGGCTCAATTTACATTGCGGCGGAACGGAATGGAAGCGCCATTTTCGCTTCGCTGCGCGATAAGGCGCGCGAGTGTTGAGACAACAATTGCTTTAGCTCATCCCACGATTTAGTCTGATCCCGCTCTCCTACTAGGTTCGCGGCTTCCCCAGTTAATCTACACATGAAATAAATAGGTCATCTGGTTGTCATCCCCGTTAAAGGTGGACAAAATATATTCACACTTCTTAATAAATACGGGTAATTGTCTAGAATCCCCTTCGAATAATGGGATTATTTTCACCATTTCCATGGGTACCCGATTGATACCAGTCGTTATCAAAAATTAAATAATTTCGCGTAAAAAGACAGAATGAACAAAAAGTACCTAATTCTAGAAATATGCTAACGAAATTTGGTCAACAGTGTTTAAATAAAATGTGATTATATAAACACGTAATTATATTACAAGAGTGGATAATAAAGGAAAGCTTCAAAGGACAGTGATAAGATTTACTCACAGGTCCGCTGCTACTCTCATTGGCTCTTGTCTGGATTACTTGTCAGGAACTCTGCTTGGCTCTGGCTTGACCCTCGTACTTATTAAATTTGTTTGTTCGGTGATTCCCGTCTAAGCGTTGAAACGCACGATGCTCGACGTGTTTGTACCCGAATTTACTACGCATCGGGGCACAGAAGGATCTACGAGAATTCTACCGGCTGCGCCAAATAAGTGACTGGCCAGAAGATTAGTTTAAAAAAAACTTTATTCAAACTGACAGAGTGACTGCTTAGTTCTAATAATAGACAAATAATCGGTCTTAAAACGAATTTACAGACTTTATATATTATTTTATTCATTTGTCAGCATGCGAGCAACTGGCACAGTTAGGCGTGCTGACAAAACGGAAGGAGCCACGTTCATTAACCTTAACTCGCGCGGTTGCTGGAATGCTTGAGCATTCCCGCGAATGCTCGAGCATTTCAGCGACCGCGTCTTGAGGCTGTAGTATGACGTCACGTTGCGCCTGCCTTCGCTCCACTACGGATTCGCCAGGCGTCGCCGACGGGAGCTGCGGAATCCTCGCGAATGCGCGAGTTTCTCAAGCGTGCGCGAGTACTCCGCGGAAGACACGCGACGTGATCTTTGGCTCGTATCTAGTTTGAATGTTACACAATTGACCATAGAGTTAATTACGCTATGTACAGTATCGTTACAAAAATTCGCTTCCATCCCGTTCCGCCGCAATTCCGCAATTATAAATTGAGCCGTACAATACTTTAACGACAATTTTTTTTACGCATAGATAATCAAATTTTAACTTCAGAAATGGTATGATATTAAATTTAACATATTTTTAGTTATAACACTAGTAATAGCAGTGCGATATGTAGATATTTGGTTAAGGGGCCTTACCATGAACTCTTATTACTTCGTAGCTCTGTCAGTTACAAAGTAATAAACGATTGTCACCGATCCTGTAGTCGCTGTTTATCCTATTATATCATCTTTAATCAATAAATGAATTTTATGGCGTACTCATTATGAATTTTTTGCAATTTCAAACATCCGGTATTCGGCCGGATATTGTTCTACTATCCGGTATCCCGCCGGATATTATAAATAGGCCGAATACCGGATATCCGTTTCATCTCTAGAATTTATTATTTGCCAAGTTTTATTGAAATCGGTTAACGGTAAGAGTAGAATATTTTATCATTTTTGAACGGTACCACTACTGAGGTACCCTCTTTCCAACAAAAAAGAATCGTCGAAATCGGAGTAATCGCGTAACATACAAAAAAAATTGCAGACGGTTAAAAAACAATTGAAATCTATTCCATTGACCCATATTGACCACACCTCGGATGTGTATAGATATTTGATTAGTTTGACCAATCAGATCATTTTGACGCTAACTGTACATACCACATAGTTATCTAAGTTCAATTTATGTGGACAGTTATGGGTTTGTATTTGTGTTGTGATTGTCTACTTTTTATATTTAAAAAAATATTTGGTGTACAACTTTGTCTTTTATGTGTAAGCTGTAATAGTTTAAATGTAATAATTAGATTTATTATGAAAGCATTTTTTTTTGTGTCAATTACCTATTTACGTATATTCAGTTTATTAAAATCAAAATGAAGTGAAAATATTGTTTACAATGACATATTTTTACCTCTGTCCGTATGATATGGTGCTTGTAGTGAAAATGTGATTAAAATTATGTGAGTAAACATAATAGGACCTTTTATTAGATTGAAGAATAGTCTGGCACCAATAGTATTGAAATGTCACTATGAAGAAAGCTTTAGAAATATTTAGTATTATGTATAGGAATTTTAATAATAAGTTTTGTTTATTCAATGATCTGAAACTACAGTTTAACCAAAAACGAAAATGTGGTGGAGAAATACAGTAACGAATGTAATGAATTAAACTCTTATTTGGAAGAATTATTGGCACAGACTGTTTTCAGAGTGTAAAAATAAGAAATAATATCTTTTAGTTAATTTAAAGAATATTGTATGTACTGCCAAGATTATAGTAGCTATAGATTTAATGAAATAAAAATATATTAAACGAAAATAATTTATTTACTAAAACTATATATAGCCTTGATGTTTCTCTACTTGGTAGGTATGGTCAAAGCTACTCAAAATATAAAACTAAAATTTGATACGATTTTTATCACAATATAACGAGGATTCACATACATTCAATACTTAAATGAGAACATTGTTATATTACAATTTCTTGGCGCAGTAATCTATCTGTTCTTGGCAGATTTGTCCTTGACATTGGTTGGTTGGTGACTCATTCAAATGTTCTACTTAGTCTCGTCTTTCCTTTGCTTATTTACAGAAACCTTATCTATATCATATTCTGACTTGCCCTGAAATAAGAGCAAGACAAATAGTCCTCCTAATGCAAACACCATGTAGATTAACGCTTCTTGATTATTATTACGAATTATTTCGGCTCGTCTTTGTTGCTTTTTATTGACCATATCTTTATCAAACTGAGCTTGTCTAAACAGATTTCCGTAGTGTTCTTTGGTCCTGAAAAAGAGAAATAAGACACTAAGCCATAATATTGTAGTTACTTCTTACAAAGCACCAATGTGTTGGCATAATGCAGAATAATACTTATAATAAAGTGCACCTCTTGCAGCTTCTGTGGCGCTAGGGAAATACAAGGGTACGAAATAGTTTGGTGACCACAGGCTAAGACACCTTAAGGGTCAATTCACATTGCGGCGGAACGGAATGGAATGGAAACGTAAATTTCGCCTTGCGAAGGCGAGCGCTGTCGCTGGAATACTCGAGCATTCCGCACCTTGAGGCTGTAGTATTTCGTCGACTTTTGAGGTCATACTGCGCCTGCCTTCGCGCCACTTCTCGCGAACGCGTGAGAATTCCGCGAAAACGCGCGACGTGATCTTTGGCTCGTATCTAGTTTGTATGTTACACAATTGATCATAAAGTTCATTACTCTTATGTACAATATCGTTACAAAAATTCGCTTCCATTCCGTTCCGCAGCAATATAAATTGAGCCTTAGTTGACATTGGTTCACAATTTGAATTACCAATAATAATGCCGATTTTGGGAAATATTCAACAAATGTGCACATGTAGAATTTTTAGACTTCTACAAATATCTTACCAAGTGTCAAAGTCATAGACTGGCCGATTATCTACAGTGTAGTTCATGTGTCGTAATGTGCGTGATTTATAAAACTTAAGTACAGGATCGGTGGGCTCTGGATCTGGTTTATATTCCATACGCGTAGTATTTTCCCTCCCTACCAGCAACCCTATAAAATGAACAATAACAAAAAATAATTAAGTGTAAAAAAAACTGAAAAAGTTTATTATAGATACTTATATCAACCATACATTATTCACTGTTGGACATTTCTAACAAAAGCGTTTGGGCCATAACCAAAGTATGCGAGCTGGCCTCGTATACTTACAACTGGACATCTCTAACGAAAGTGTGTTATAGTAAAGTACGCAAGCTGACGACCAGATACCAGTTACGCATTTCTTGAAAGAGTTAACCTGATTGATTACTTCCCCACCATTCACATTTTATTTTTACAAAATTGAAATAAAGTATTGGTGTACCATACATACCCAGTACCACAATGTTTATTAATTAAAACAAAAACCTAATCTCCTATAAAATTGTATTACCAAAACTAAATAATCTATTACCCAAACTAAAAACTAAGACTAAATAGATAGCAGGTCCATTTTCTCCTAATGTAACGTACAGTTGGCAGCTCATCAAACCATATACTTTTGGTCCAATATAGCCTCCAGAACAACAGAACAAGATCCAAGAATGTGTAGCTTGATGTGCTGCTGTCTATAATTAAATGATTGATTTCGTGTTGTTACATCTGTTCTAAAGAACTCTAAGATAATAAAATAAATAAAAATAAAATGTTTTATTCGTTCATTTTAAAGGGCATAGTACAGGGGCGGATGTATGTCAATTTAGGGCCTGTGCTAGGAAACATCGCTCTTCTATAATATTAATAGTAATTTTGCTCTTAAATACTTTTAAGATGATGAAACAGACTAACTTAATATCTACTGTAACTGGTGTTACAACTAACACACATTTCACTAATTACAGTAATTTTTAACTTTTCAGACTAAAAATCGATTAACCTAATTGTTAATGTGTGTGAGTGCAAGTATGTGTATATATTATCTGTAGGTGTGTAATTGTGTGGAAAGTGTGAATGTGTACATGTGACCTACCCCTGTCATACATTTTCTTCAGATTGACATTTCCCAAAACTTCATATGCTTCCGTTATTGCTCTGAAGTTTTTAGCTGACGTTTCATTCTGGAAAATAATAATGGGGACTTAATGTAACTTATTAATGTGCAGTTCAATATGTATTATATAAAAAAATTATTAATATGTTGCTAATTCAGGCTAAATTTTGTTAAAGTGTTTATAGTTATGTGTTTGTAACATAAGTATGTGTGTGTGGATTGAGTGAGAACCCTCTGTAAAATGCTTAAAATATATTAGTCATTTAGTAAAAGTTCTAAAACAATTGTAGCAACCAATCTTTCTACTTGTAAAAAGATAAAACAATTGAAAAATAACTTAATGTGTGCTCACTCAGTTCTCACAGAGGGTCAGCCAGATCTACAAAAGTATTAAGTTTGCATATAATATTATTGTACTAGTTTTTCGTAAAAGTTTTGCTGAACTATCGTTTTTAATCACAGATCAATTAGTGCCTTTTTTAAATTTTTACAAACATTTTCTTATGCTCACTCAATCCGCAAAAGGAACACTTTCTTAAAAACCAAATAAGCAAATTAAATTTCGTTTATGTCTAGATTTAGTAAAAGTTACATATAAATTGGTAAAAAATAAAACAAGCAACTAATGGGACACGATTTTGTGTGTGTGATTTCTGAAGAGTAACAAACGCCAATATTTTCGATTTGTAAGTATTACACAGACTGTAATTGGTCAAGTTTTAGTAGTAATTTACTACTAAATATCTGCAAATATTATATACAAACTTAATACCTACTTTTGTGGATCTGACTAGCCCTCTGTAAGAACTGAGTGAGCACACATTTTTCTTGTTTTATCTTTGTACAAATGGAAAGGTTGGTTGCTACATTTTACAGAGTGTACTCACTCAATCCACACACATGTACACGAGTACTTTCAGCAGTTGTATCTTTTTTTCGATTCGAACCCATGGCTGCTGCTTCAAGGGGTCTACACTCTATCTCCGCCTGACATCTGTCCGAAACAATTACTGCCAACTAAGCAATACTTGACCAAATGAAGACACATGATGCAAATGAAGCTTCATACTGGATACTTGTCTTTTAATTTTGTAGAATATTACTTATTTGACAGTAATTGTTTCAGATGAATGTCGGACGGAGATCGAGAGTAGACCCGCAGAGACGGTCGGTCAAATCATTAGACCACAGCTTCAGAGTTCAAATTATAGACTGTTACAAGACTGTTCTTTTTTATTAGGAGTACGAAGCATTTAAGGATTTGAAAGGCAGGGACTTGTGTTCTTGTCAATAATTCTGCAAGTTCAATATAACAAATTGTTTCCTAATTAGTTTTTTTTTGTAATTCCAAGTGACGGGACGGGAATTGTGTGTCTGATGGTAAGCAATATGTCTGCCCATAACAGTTGCAGTGCCACTCGTAGCTTTAAATTACAAAGATCTGAGGGGAAAGATCTGATTGCCACTGCACCCGATACCCTGAGACATAAGTTGACAAGTCCCATGTGCCTGTGATTTCACTCTTCAAAACTGGAACACTGTTCACATTCCGGTATAAATAGATAAGGTGGCAGTACTTCCCTGTACGAACTCTTTCACAAGGTGCTCCTTGTGAGCTAAGCAAGTGCTAAGCTCATATGGAAATTTTATCGCACGATACTTACATCGGATTTGTCAGGATGGTACACCTTGGATAGTTTGTAGTACGCGGATTTAATATCATTTTGCGTCGCTTTAGGTGTGAGACCCAGGACGTCATAATGGCTAGCACAATGTTGTGACGTCGTGGAAAACATACAAGAGCTCTTCTGCGCCAATGACTGGGCCGTCAATAGTACTTTCGAAAACAGCTGAAACATCGACGTAGAATAATCAAAACATGAAGATATTTTTAGCAAAGATTTTGTAATAACATTCAGAACTTACACGCCGTAAACGAATGATTTTGAATATAGCCATTGATTAACAGCAATTTTGACTTATTTAGATTTCATAAGACGTCCTTTTGCATTTTTGATTTAAAATCGAAAATCTTCCGAAAATTCTATGACTCGGGAGCGCAGGGAGGGAGTTTGTCACTTATGTCAAAATTATATCATCACAGTTTGTGCAGGTTGTGATCCTGACACTTACCGAGTACATGACATAACACCGAGTAATTAAAACGAGTTGAAAAAACATACAACTCGTCCTCGTCGTATTGAATACCGAGTCTCAACGATTACAGATTACAAAATAGCGAGCCTCAACGATTACAGAATACCGCTCGCGGTATTCTGTAATCGTTGAGGCTCGCTATTTGATATTCGTTATGCGGTTTTACCAACGGTTTCGATTTTGTCGACAATAGTTATTTTTGATGTAAGTGCGGAAGTTAGTCATTATTTACGAGTCTCGAGGCTTCTTGGCCCGAGCCAGAGGCGAGGGTCAAGACGCGAGACAAGTGAAAATGACAAATCCGCACGTGTATGAAACGACGTTTTTTAATACATTTGCGAAAAAACTACATCGAAAGTAAAATAAAACAGTATTTAAAAAAAAACCTCATTTTCTGCTAGTAAATTAAAATAATGAAATACAACCACTGCAACCATTATTTAAAATTCTATGGAAATCTAGTTCTAACCTTAGAATAATTATTCTAAGGTTCTAACGTGCTATTTTTGTTTATTTTCTGTAATATCAGTCTGTAACCACTTTTCTTGTTATGAAGTCTTGGTAAGTTTGTTTAAACTTCTTTAGGAACCCGTGCACGGTAGTGAGATACAATTTATCTGTAATACATAGAACAAATATATACATAAAAATCTCGCCTGTCACTCATTCA